CAGAAACTTTGACGCTGCCGCCCGTCCATCGCCGACCCCACCGGCTATCCCCACCGACAGCCACGCTGCCAATTTGAGTCTGTCCCATCGCACTTTCGCCACCGTGCCACGTCGTGGCCACCCTGCTGCCAGATCCGACTGCTCCACCACCCCCGCCACCGGGTCCGCCGCTGCTCCGCCACCCCTCGTCTCCAAATCGGTGGAATTGGCCGCTTCTTCGATGTCGCACCGCCGTCGGATTCAAGCCGCACACACGTCGCCGCCGCTTTTCCGGCGCCGGACTCGACCTTCTTGCGCCGCACAACCGTCGCATCGCCGCCCCGTCACGACCAATCTGCTACTCGATTCACAGCCCCGTCGTCGGCCATTTGAGCTCCTGCCGCCGCATTCGACCTCTCGACTCTCGTTGCTCGGCCGCCGCCGCACCTATTGCCGCCGCTCGTTCCACCGGGGGACCTGTGCTGCCGCTCGGTCCACCGGCGCTTATGCCGACTATTTCACATCTTCATTTGCATCATCTATTGAAGTTGGACTTTTACATCACCAATATACATCATCTATTGGAGTTGCCTCTTTTTTTAAGATGTAAAATGCATTTTTTGGTGATGTAAATTTTACATCTCCTAATTTTACATCTTCAAATTTGCATCATGCATTGGAGATGCTCTTATAATATAAAGCAGGGAAACCCTTTTTCGTCAAAGCCAACACTTTTGTTCGCTCATTTCCTGGTTTTCACCGTCTACCTGAACTCGCAATAAACTGAAATCAAGCCTTGAAAATTTCTTGTTTCAACTGGTAAATCCCTGTATGGATTAGATTTTTTTTTCTTTTAGGTGCGATTCAAACTGAAGTGGGGTTTTAGTTCCCAATTTTAATTAACCAGATTTGAGTTAACACCTACTCAGCATGATGACGGCCAATGATCATAGTGCCCTTCGATCAGATTACAATTCTCAAGAATGACGAGCCATGAAAGTTTTCTGCAAATGAAGGCGTTTCTCACAGATGTTTCACCTGGCCCATTTAGAAAGGACATATTCACACCGTCGCTCAGACGAGATGCTCAAAGCACAAAAGACCAGCAAAACGCATCACAGGCACATCGAGCTTGACATGAACACAGCATCAACATATAGGGCCCCTCAACGTATATGGCTGTCAAACAGTCACGCGTGCAACAAGATCGCCTCATGCTTGATCGAAAATATTCCCCAACAGTACCATATTGGCAACAAGATGTACCAAGACCAATACATCTCAGCCACTGCGCCTGCCACCGAGATATGAGGATGCAATTTTGCAGCATTTTCTCTATTTTGCTTTTGCTTTGAAACCACAGAAATGCTCAGATATGTCGGCACCTGCCGTGCTCATGAGACAGCTTGTCAGTCTTCGAGAACCATTGCTTGTTGCTGCTCCTGCCGCCGTATTACCCCCTCTGAATTCCTGCTACTTCGTCCATACTGATAGTGGTAGCGCAGCGCTACCGCAGATACGAAGGCTGCACAAAGAGATGATGCAGAGTTAAAACTTTACCATGTTTGAATAAAACAACAAATTGTGATACAGCCCAAACCACATTGGTAGAAATCTGCAGTTATGCTTCGGAGCATATGAGCTTGTGCTCAGTTTTAAGGACCAACATAAATGCATCTTTAAATGAGCCAACAAGGTCCAAGAATATCCATGTTACGACCTTTATACCGACAGTAGTAGCAGAGTGTTACCATTTGAAAGAACGATTCATCAGTTTAGTGGCAATGAGATTCTAGATGGGACACAGACAAACATTTCCTATTATGTTTTCACTAGCTTTGCTTGCTGAATTCCTCCTTATGATGAAATTAGAATCCGATTAATTTAGCCAGCTTCTGGCAAATACCAAGAACAGGTCATTTAAGAAAAGGCAATCAATGAACTTGATGTTGCTTTGTGAATTGTCTACACCGAAAAAACGAAACCCCGCTATGCTGAATATTGCCCATTAAAAGTGAGATTCTTGATGGGTGACCTTAGTCTCATCTCTTCTAGAAAATCAACTGGGCAGGGTTGAGCAACCACTTGTGCCAATTTTTTTTTCAGAAAGTACTAACTGTCTTCTGAGCTGTAACCTTAAATGAAGCATATCAACGAACCCGTGTGCTGTTTAACAGCATCCGATTGGCATTAATTTTGTACCAACATAAGAATCAGTCAAGCAGTTTATATGAGCCAGTTGTTTCGAACTACTTTCAGTCCAATCGATTATCAACGACGTACCAGCCATTACACGTGTCTTCACACTAACCAAGTTCCAGAAGGTCGTCACTGCAGCAGCTGCAACAAGTTTCTTGCGGGGACAGGACTTCCATGCATTCAGAATCCGGGCATTCAAACCTTCAACTGACAAAATACAACTTATGACTCCTTGCTCCATTAAAAGGTAATTTTAGCAGTAAATTGTACAAGCTGCCTACCTTTTTCATGAATATGACTTGAATAGCAGCTATAGAGTTTTGGGAGTGTAAAACAACCAAAGAATCCTGTAAATTTTCATTCAACACAAGATGATACAAAGGTGAAGTCATGCAAACGTTTGACTGCTCTTTGCCATGCAATCATACCTGTTGCTAGAAGCCTCCATACTGTGAACAGATGGCCATACTTAGCACCAAATAGAAGAATAGGAAACACCTGATACTTAAGGAATCAGAGGCCTCAGAATTGCTTAAAGAAAATGTGTGTACTCTGAAGAAAACAGAGCGTGGAATCAAAATGTAAGGCTTACTTTCAGAGTCATGGATGGATCACCAGAGAAGATCACTCGGGACATAGATATGAGAGAGTTAGCAATTGGCAGGACAGCTCGGCCAACCCGGAGCACATCTTCCTCAGTCAACTGGAAACTCCTTACTTGTTCAGTGTTCTGCCTGTTACAGCTTTGAAATAAACATGATTTCACAGATAGCAAGGAAAATTGACACTGTTACCTAGCTCAAGAAAGAACATTATTATATTGTACCTCTGAGGAATGGAATCTTTGAAGAAAGCTAAGACCAATGTCACAACACCAAAATGGCAAAGTATCTTGATTGGACTGCAAAGTAGAGGGCAATATTCAAATGGCGAACTATAAATATGTGCAATAAAATTAGGTTAGGGCCATTGGATACTTGTCAGTGTTCAGGAAAATAGCATTGCAGACAAACCAATTTCGCTAGGGACAGTATATAGGCCAAAATAATGAAAAGTGACATTGTCGTTAGGGTTTTGGGCATTAGCATGAGATTTATTTCTTGATAGTAGGATACTTATCCTTGCCTTCCTACTTCCATATTTCTCCTCTCTTTCTCACTTTGCTCTCAGTCTACATCGCCGACCAATGGACCCAAGCTCTGTCATGAACTGCCTTTACACTTATCTGACCCTCGCTGCCCATATGTGGCACTGGTACCCCTGCTTCACCACTGAGTGAAAAGAGAGTGCACAGAGGGACAGGGGATTCCAGCGAGCAGCAGCAGCATGTTTCAGGACTTCAAGGTGCCACTCGTTTTTCTATTTCCCTGCTTTACAACCGTAAGAACTTCAACAACAAAAAAATCCCAATTGTGAACCGATTCCTCGACCACACAGCTATGTTTTTGCGACTGCGCTTAAATTTATTCATGACATTAAGACAGTATAGGCTTTGATCTTATGCTCTTACCTTGTCCCAATTTCTTCTCAAATTTTGTTGCAAATTGCATTTCAGTTTTTTCGAATAAGAAAAGTAATGTCTTCATAACTACAAGAATAAATCCATTTTTCACCAACAAATTCCATCTTGACCTTAAGTGGCGAACTGAGATAGGTGTAAGTTCTGGAATGTCACTTTATATCCCTAATGGACGGTTCTGTGATGCCAACAGTATCCTGCAGAACTTATGATGATTGACATGACACTGGACAGTCGAGTCCATTTTCAGTGGTAATTTCCATATATGGATGATTATGGTACCACCAGCATAATTTTTCAATGTGTAATATGCTGAACAATGTATGGATGAACTACAGCAGAAGTTGCACGTGCCTGAAATTGACGTCTTTTGAAAAGGAAGAAGAGACGAAAAGCATGGACCCAGAGCCGAACCAAAATGCTGATCTCCCAACATTCTTCCACATCACCAAGTCAACAACCCTTTCCCAAAGACCTTCCCAATCAAACTGCTCTACATTCTCTGCACCTGGTACTCAAACAGGAATTAACAACATTAGCAAGGGAATACACATCTGTAACGTACACTATCATACCACAAGAAATGCAAATCAAACAGCAAGACGCATGATAATAATTGCACAGTACAGTACACAAATACTACTTTTCTGGAATAATTTGTTAAATTATGAATGACATGTATGAACAAGACAATGGTTTATCTACCAAGTTCTGATAAACAAGTTTCACTCATACACTGATAGGCAAAACAAAAAATTGGTTGGCAGAAATGGATGTGGACACTCTGAATCAGATAGTGTGTAGGCTTTGGCTAGGAATATGCAACAAAATTATATATTACCCTGTCCGAACAAATAACCCAATCCAGGTTAGTTGTATCAGAAACAATTTTCGAATAGAAACAATTACAAACTTATAGAAGCATGCTGACAAGGTAATGATAGTCTATCCAATTATCCATCGTGATGTGCTAAATTTATAGGTTAGGCCGATATAAATACACACAAATGTTTAACATTTTTATTTAGGACCTTTAGCTAAATTTGTGCCATTTTGGTCTCAGGTTGGTCAAATTACAGCAAATCTGGAGCTCCCTGCTTTTCCTGGTTATGAACTATCCACAAAAAGACAGACAGTCCCCATAGACCTTTTGGGTTTGCCAAAATCAGACCCTCCACGACTCAATGGAGTAAGATCAACCTCGTTGGTCCATACAGTCAGCATACAGCGTGCAGCATGGACTATCATGTGGTCTACGGTCATGTACACCATACACCTTTGGGCAGTGCCATGACTCGTTTGATTCAATCTAATGTGTTGTGTCCGCTTCACAAGATCTTCGACCTACTCTAACAGTGTTGTAGGTTGTAGCTAGCAAGTGAGAATAATTTGAGGCTCATAGCTACTGTACCACTATTCATATATAGATTAATGGTGAAAAGAGGCAGCAGCCTTCACCAACATCACAATCAAAAACTGAAAACACTCATTCGTAGCTAGAACTTGGACACAGCGCCAGAAATTATTTTGACACAATCCATAAAAATGTCACAAATCAATGCCGAAAATAATAGAAATTTAGCATAATTTACATCCACCAAGACCTACATAAAGGAGGTGACAGCACTTTCTACAACCACAAACTTGTAAACCCCAGAATAAATACATGGACGTAACTTGTACAGTTAGATATCCATAAGCTAGATAAGCCCCTATGCCTGCACAACAGTTTGCAATTTCCATGCTGTTACTTGTGCATAAATAGAATTGCAATTTGCAACACCAAGAACAATATCCCCTAATGAGATAAAATGAAGCAACATTTCCTACATCAACCAAAAACTATAAGATTGTGTCCTGCATTCTATGAACCCTAAAGTGGCAATTAGTGTGGTAATTAGCAATTGCTCAGTTACCTCGGGTTGGATTGATGGGAGGGTATGGCACCAAAGCCAAGCTGGAACCCTTCTTCTCCTTCACGGCTGTCAGAGGCTGCGCCGCGGTCTTTCTTCTCTGGGTCTTACCCGCCGCTTCCTCATCGGCCGCCTCGTTCGCCGTCAACTCCCTCCCGCCATCGTTGTCCAGCCGCCGGCGCGCTCGCCTCACGTTCTTCCCGGGCGACGCGGCCGTGCGCGGCTCCCCCGCCCCGCGGCGCTTCCTTCGCGGAGACCCGACGGCGCCCGCGCCTTGGTCGACGACCGCGGCGCGAAGGGGCTTAGAGCGGCGGCGCCGGGCGGGGCTGTTGCGGGGAGGGGAGAGGGGGAGCACGTCATCCCGAGGAGAGAGGGACGGTGACGGCGACGCAGGGCCCTGTGGCGGCGACGGTGGCGGAGAGAGAGTCGCGGTCCCGTCGGCGACCGCGATGTCGCCGGAGCGCGGCATGGGGGCAGGGGAGTCGGGTGCTATTTCGATCTCCATTTGATTTGCTTCCCGGGGACGCGTTGGCTGGCTGGGGTTTTGGCGATGTCCAGCGGTGGGTGGATCGAAATTTGAAGCAATTTTCCCCCTCGGAGCATCCTCAATAGCAGCCTCGCAGATCCGCTAATTTTCTTTTCCGTTCTTTTCTTAACTGAGAAGGCACCGAAAGGCGTCATTTATTAGCTCACACACATTTTACATCAAGGATTATGAATCCTTCAAGTACAAAGTTGCTTAAGGCAAGCAACAGAGGGCGACGGGGAGAGCAACTGGGCCGGGACACCACGATGGTGAGGGGTGCAATGGTGTGTCGGCGGATCCGCACGGCGACGACATGCGGCACACGGCGGGATTTGAGATGGCGGATTGTGCAAGCAAGGGGGGTGGCAGCAGATCAGGATCCGTCCCGATCCAGCGTCCGTCTTCAGGCGGCGACGGCGATGGTGTCGGCGTGGTGGAGGCGGTTTGGTGGCGGTCTTAGGCCTTGTACAATGCAAGGTGCTTAAGGGAGGTGCTTAGAGAAATAAATCAGATTTTTTTTAAGCACCGGTGCTTATTTAACATGATAGATGCTTAACTAAGCATCTCTCCTGTAGAAATAGGCACCGGCGCTTCAGAAAAACTCAGTTTATTTTTCTAAGCACCTTCCTAAGCATCTCCCATTGTACACGACCTTAGTGCTCTTATTGCTGAAAATATGCCCTAAAGGCAATAATAAAATGATTATTATCGTATTTCCTTGTTCATGATAAATGTTTTTTTATTCATACTATAATTGTATTGACCAGAAACTTAAATACATGTGTGGATACTAAACAACATTGTATCCCTATTGAGCCTTTACTAGATTAGCTCGTTGATCAAAGATGGTTAAGGTTTCCTAACCATAGACATGAGTTGTCGTTTGATAATGAGATTACATCATTAGGAGAATGATGTGATGGACAGACCCAACCGTAAGCTTGGCATATGATTGTGTTACTAAGTTCACTTTGCCATAGCTTTCGTAATGTCAAGTATCTGTTCTTTAGACCATGAGATCATGTCATTTCTGGATACCAGATTAATACTTTGTGTGTTATCAAACGTCACTTCGTAACTGGGTGATCATAAATGTGCTCTACATGTATCTTCTAAGGTATTTGTTGGGTTGCATGGATCGATACTGGGATTTGTCACTCGTATGACAAAGAGTTATCTTTGGGCCCTCTCGGTAATACAACATCACAAGAAGCTTGTAACCATGTGACTAATGAGTTTAGTCACGGGATCTTGTATTACAGAACGAGTAAAGAGACTTGCCGGTAACGAGATTGAACTAGGTATGGAGATACAGATGATCGAATCTCGGACAAGTAACATATCGCCTGACAAAGGGAATTGCATACGGGATTAACTGAATCCTTGACATCGTAGTTCAACCTATAAAGATCTTCATGAATATGTAGGAAACAATATGGGCATCCATGTCCCACTATTGGATATTTACCGGAGAGGAGTCTCGGTCATGTCTACACGATTCTCAAACCTGTAGGGTCGCACACTTAGCATTCGATAGCGCCAGGGCACTATTGAGATATTAGTATGGCGAAGTTCGAAAGTTGTTTGGAGTCCCGGGTAGGATCCGAGACTTCACGAGGAGCTCCGGAATGGTCCGGAGGTAGAGATTCATATATGGAAAGTTTGGTTTTTTTGGTATTGTATCGGGAAGCTTCCAGAAGGTTCCGGAGGGTTATACCATGTCCCTTAGGCCAACATGGGCTCTAGGGGGCTCCCTGTCCTTATTAGGCCAGGCGCACCACCCCTACAAGGCCCATGTGCATGGGGAAGGGAAACCCCAAAGGGGAGGGCTCTCCACTTGGCTTGGAGGGCACTCCTCCCCCCTTGGCCGCCTCCCCCTCCCTTGGAGGAGGGCTAGGGTCGGCCAGCCCAACCCACACCCCTATATAAAGGGAGGAAAGGGGCTAGGTGCTAGATCCCTCCAGCCTTGGTTTCCCCTCTCTCTCATTACTCCTCCTCCATGTTTGTTAGGGCATATTTCTCCTTAAGTGGTTTTGGTGATTGATGACAACATGTTTGCGGACTAATCTTGTGCATTGAGTATTTCAGACTATCAAGCATATAGCACAAGACGATTTGTGCCCCTCTGAGTTTCAAAGAAGATGGTTTTCTTTCCCGCGTTTCTTTTCTGGTGGACTTGAGTCGTAGGGAAAACCATACTATCAAGAGAGGGTCCGCGTCGGAAAGGTTTGGGTGGAATCATCACGTACCCACTCATATTTCACCCATCGCCCCTTTCCATTTCTTTGCAGTTGTCCAATGTTCGTTCCAAAGCAGTGGTGAAAAGTTGCAAGCGACAGTACCTCAGACTAGACACGTAGTACCGCCTATGGGCGGCAGTACCGCTATCAGCACCGCTCACACTACCGCTCGTGGCTGGGACCTTGACTTTTTATGCCGGGTTCTATGGTGGTGCCGCCGGGTTACTACCGTGCTACCCGTTTGTCCCCAGAAAATGGGCGGTTGTAGCAACGGTAGTTGAGGCGGTAGTACCGCCCCTACTACCGCGGTTACTGCCGCCCGTTTCTCTATTTTCCCCTGTTTCCCTTTGTCTCTTGTGCATCCTTCAGGGAGCGTAGTACCGCTTCTGGAGCGGTTGTACCGCTCTTGGAGTGGTAGTACCACTTATCTGCGGGCTGAGAGACACATAACGGTTGGATTTGTTCTCCCACTATAAAAGGGGGACTTCTTCCCCAAGAAGACTCACCTCTTCCTCCCCAAACTCCATTGTTGCTCCAAAGCTCTTTTTTGCCCGATCTCTCTCCCTAGCCAATCAAACTTGTTTATTTTCTAGGGATTGGTTGAGAAGGCCCGCATCTACACTTCCACCAAGAGAAATTTGATTCCCCTAGCTAATCCCTTGCGGATCTTGTTACTCTTGGGTGTTTGAGCACCCTAGACGGTTGAGGTCACCTCGGAGCCACATTCCATTGTGGTGAAGCTCCGTAGTGGTGTTGGGAGCCTCCAATCAAGTTGTGGAGATTGCCCCAACCTTGTTTGTAAAGGTTCGGTCGCCGCCTTCAAGGGAACCACTAGTGGAATCACGACATCTCGCATTGTGTGAGGGCGTGAGGAGAATACGGTAGCCCTGGTGGCTTCTTGTGGAGGATTGTGCCTCCACACCGCTCCAACGGAGATGTACTTCCCCTCAAAGGTAAGGAACTTCGGTAACACATCCTCGTCTCCACCAGCTCCACTTGTGGTTATCTCTTTCCTTTACTTTGTGCAAGCTATTGTTGTGTTGTATCCTTTGCTTGCACTTGTTATTGTTGTTGATTAGCATCATATAGGTTGCTCACCTAGTTGCACATCTAGACAACCTATTTGCTGCTAAACCTAATTTGTGAAGAAAAGCTAAAAATTATTAGTTGCCTGTTCACCCTCCTCTAGTCAACCATATTGATCCTTTCAATTAGTATCAGAGCCTCATCTCTTTATTAAGGGTTTCACAACACGAAGAGTATGGTTGACATCGAGGAGGAAGTGCCCGAGGCCGCGGAGTTGACTTCGATCACACGAGATGACTTAAATGAAGCTATGGCTTCACTTAAGACGTCTATGACGACCGAAGTCAAGTTTATGCTTGAAGAATTGCTTGAGGGGGCAAAATCCACTCCCGATCCATTGCTTGTGGTTAATCCCACCATATCGGCGTCAGAGGCCAATTCCGGCAAAGCGGCTAAAGGTACTCAAACTTCTACCCCTCATGATAAGAATGGGACAAGAACCTTCGCCTCGGTTCCCCCTCCCCTGGTCTATGGAGGACCGGTCCCTACACCGCGCATCAAATTTTGGCCCTCCTCCTAAGCTTATTAAGGGTGATTTTGCTAAGTGGGTTTTTCGCATCAAGTCTCATTTGAATCACAACTCAACAAATCTTTGGAGAGTCATTGCACAAGGCTTCTACTCGCATGATCCAAACAACCTCACCCCAAGAGAAGAAGTGGACAATCAATACAATCACTCCGCTTTGTTCATCCTTCAAGATGTGGTCCCTCCCAAAGATCTATCTCACTTATGTCCCTTCACTCGAGCAAAGGATTGTTGGGATCACATCATGTCTTTGTACAAGGGAAGCTCAAGCATCCAACAGTCCAACTTTGAAGTGGTCCTTGATGAGGCCGATGAATTCGTGATGCTAGAAGATGAGGATCCGCGTGATCTCTACCGGAGGGTGACAACTCTTGCGGTTGCTCTCCAAGACCATGGGAGCAAGGATACGGATGACAATTGGATCAAGCGCAAGTTTCTCAAGGCCATCATGCCTTTCAATAAGGCCATGTCTTCCGTGATTCGTCAAAGGCCGGATTTTCACACTTTAACCTCAAGTGAAGTGTTGGATGAGTTTATTGCCATGACATCATGAACAAGACCGCCGACAATGCTCTTGCTCGTGTTCAGTCAAAGAAAAACTCATCAACTCTTGCTTTGAAGGCCAAGGACATTCTGGAAGAAGAAGAGGAGGAAGAAGATGAGATTTGCCCCGAGGACACCAAATATGCTTACCATGAGCACATGGCTCTTGCATCAAGGCAATTTTGGAGCAACAAGAGGAACTCAAGACCCAACTTCACCAAGAATAACTCAAGTGGCTCAAAGAACAAGCAATGAGTAAGGACTTGCTACAATTGCTGCAATGTGAGTCACTTTGTGGCGGAGTGCCCTTATGAGAAGAGGGAAGACAATGGTGGCAAACTCAAAGACAAAGCCAAGTCTTTCCCAAGCAAGAACAACTTCACCAAGAAGACACCTCAAAAGGGTTTAGTGGTGCATGAAGAGTACGCCTCCGATGATGATGATGAAGATACAAGTGGAGAAGGAATGGCAACGACGACCATTGCCATTGCCACATCTTCCCCCTCCAAGGTGCCTTTATTCGGCGCCCCCAACGAGAACACCATTACCAAGTGCCTCATGGCCAAAGGTATCAACAAGGTAAT